GTGTAGTAGTGTAGGACTTTACATTGGGTCTGAATTTGGGTTTTAGTATGGTTGTTCTGCTGAACCCATATTTTGAGTTTGTTTGGTTTTAATGTGTCGAATTTTGTTGGCTTCTATTGACTGCATTTGTTTTTCACTCTTTTGTTGCTTCCTTAACTAATATACATTTAAATTTTGTCACATTAACTTCTCTTTAGTGTAAACCAAAATTTTTGGTACATTACTCATCATTCATCATAGATTCAAGCAGATAAGAATAATTATGGGAAAATCAAATTAGAAATTTCAAGAATATATTGCAAAAAACCCAAAAGGTGACCATTCTGAACTTTTATTCATTATACAAGTACAATCGCGAATTTGCCTATAAATACGCATGCATTTTAGAGCTTCACTTCATTCACATTTTTAATCGCGATGAAAGTACTGGTAAGTTGAAGAATCCTCAAAATAATTGTCAGTACATAATCAAATTGTATTTACAGGTGGTTTTGCTTTTTGCCCTAACAACCATTGTTCTGGTGACTTGTGCTCCTTCGAATAGTAAAGAAGTGGTTCATCAAAATGAAATAAAAAGCTCAGAAGCCGATAGCGTCACAGACGACACTAAAGAAACCGAAAGCAACGAACATGAAATCGATGAAGAACAATCAACGACGGAGGATTTAGTGACAGAAACTTCGACGGAGGATGACGAATGGGACCCTTTCTGGGATATTCTTTAAAACTTAAAAAATAATATTTATACTGATTAAATTTGTATGCTTAAAAAAAAAATGTAGTAAACTGTTGTGGACGGGTTGGCCAAATTATCAATTTTTATAAACTTGTATTCTTGTTAAAAATATGCGTAGAATAATACAATTTAAAAAAATTTTTAGTTACAACATTGTATAGCCTAAATTTTATATGTAATTTATCACTGAAATTATAATTCTCTATGCACGGGTATACAAATTAACATGAATTGCATAAATTTATGAATGGTTACAATTCTTTTATTTATGTTTAAAAAGGCAATTGATTAAATGAAGGAAAAATGTTAAATGCCTTCATCGGAACCTGAGCTCCATGGGTGGTTTTTATACCGATATAAAACTCATTTCACTCGGATTAATATGAGCCCGGAATTTGGTTGAGCTCGTCAGTAATACCCATGCGTAAACAAAAAAAAATCATTTCTGTTTCAGTTCCCATTCCCACGCAATACAGTTTATTGTTTCACCACAGAAAGGGAAAAAAGGGGCGAGTGGCGTAAGTAAACAAAAGCTCAGCGATCATCGACGCCTCAATGAAACTTTTTTTTCGCAATTAAATTAGTATTCAGTTACCATACGGACAACAACAAGTCAAACCAAAAAAAAAGTGTACACAGGCCGGATGCGGCTAAAGAAAAAAAAAGTCCGAGGCAAGGATCCTTGGATACAGTCGGAATCTTGGATTTTGAATCAGCGATCGCCAATCATCATCTCTGGCCATATGCAAAATATGTTTATAAATAAACGACACAAGGAAAAAATATTGCAACTTAAAATGTAGCTAAAGGCAGATAGAAATTTATTGAACTACCTAAAAGTATTAAGTACCTAAAGTATTTAAATGATGCTTATATATATTATATATATCAAATGTTTTTAGTTTTTCAGTTTTAATAATCGGTAATGATTATAAAAATGGCTTCCTATTTGCATACTAGAGGTAATTACTTAATAATGCACAGTAATGATCTTTATTATTTGCGGTTGAATTAAAATGATATTACATTTTTTATCGGTGCAGCGAAACGAAAACGGTTCCGAATTCCAAGGCGAAATCATTAATGGGATGTCACCGAAGAGTGACAGGGCAGAGCACCCCTTTAATGGCAACTAGATGTCCTCAGCTGGGATCGAAATGGAATCAGTTCGGCTGGGACTGAGAGACTAGCGTTGGAGATTGGGGTTCGAGGAGCAGGGCTGAGTGACGGGTATTGGATTTCAACATGCAATGCACGCGGCGCGGCATGCGGCTGCATATCTGCAACGCCATCTCTCGGATACTTCGGCATCCCCCTTATCACCGATTTCTCCGATCCGCGCATATATATATATAAATACCCCTTCCCCAAAAAAACCAACAAGTTGCTCCACCGCAAGTGCCCGCCCGCTGACTGACATATGATCCTCATCTTCATCGCATCCTCAACAAAGTTTCTATGGCTTTCAAAGCTCTGCCCTCTTCCTCTTAGTTTTCATGAACTTAAAGGGGTAAGCTTCTGTTTTCGTTTATTAAGATAATTTCGAATCGTTGCAAGTATTTATCTTATTTATATAAAAATATTTTTATTTATATTATAAAGTGCCAATTTTTTTTTAAAGTCAAGGATAGGTCAAAGCATTGAAATAAACCAAAGTATTACAATTTGGGTATTAACAAGAAAAGTATCATAAAATCAATTCCTGAAAATACACGAGAGACAAAAAAATGTATAATAAAAGCCATATTGTCCTCAAACGTTATTAAATACTGATTTATTAACTATTTAGTTTTTATTATCAGAATATCATGTGCATTCCTGTAGTTTGCCTATAAATACAATTCTCGTTCTAGAATTAGTTAAATCGAAATTAATAAGAAGTTTTCTTAAAACAAAGGGTATTTAATTCTGTATTTAAATCCAAAGGAGGTTTTCCAGATTTTTTTTTCAGATTTTATGCAGCTCTTAACCTGTTGTTGGTTCTTCGGCCGCGCTGCTCATTTGTCATTCAGGCGAAACACTCGCAAGTCGTAAAGTAAGCTCCGTTCCAGTCTCTTAAAATCTGCCGAAGAAGACGGGAAATAATCTCGAGACGACTATGCCGCTGGAGTCATAAAATTATGATCGGTATTTTTTGCCCTTGCGCTCCCCGGGGAAATTTGAACTCAGCCGGTTTTTTTGCCAGCATTTTTTAGTTATTTTCGAGTCTAGTTTTTTGACATGGAACATGGATTTCTGTTGTATTTCATGCAACACCTTGTCCCCACGATTTCCAAGAACACATCTCGGGACATTCCTGAACTGCGTTTCCTCGGAAACTTGCAAATGGATCGCAGTAGTTAAAGGCACGAGAGACTTAGCAAAATAAATACAAGCTCATTAAGTTCATTCATGTCTCCCATTCAGCCATATCAAACGCAAAGCAAGCCAATTCAAAACCGTTTCTAACGCAGACTATAACCAGAGAAGTGTCGTTTTTCACAAACAACGACGCGCCCGCTCATTTTCAATGAAAATTTCCACAATTTCCTCAATGGGTTTGTCGTTGGCCTTTCATGTGTGGGTAATATGATCGTGAATTTCTTGCCCAGAAACCCTGCAACTTCCACGGGGAGAAAAGTCGAGGCGCCTCGAACACTTATGATGTCGTAGACCCAAATTAAGATAAGATTCAGATAGGCCGAGCGTTTCGAGCTAGCTGCTTAGGAATCTCGTTAATATGAATTGGTTTATCCATTGATAACGACTAGTTTTCTATTGAATGGAGGCAAAGAAAGCTTATCTTTCTTTGGAATTAATATGACAAATTTCTATTGACTTCCGTTTAATCTTTCACATTTAAATTGTAAAGGCATTTTATAATTTTATCTGTATATAAACAAGTATTTTATTGGCTATTAATTATAGTATATATAAATATTACATATACAAAATATGGACAGTACATAGATGCTTAATTTTAATGGACAATATCCGAAAATTCATTGTTGCAAGTAAATTGCGTTAAATTTAAAGGGGGTATTATAATTTACAATCTACAATGAATATAAATTACACAAAATGAAATTAAATATTCATTCCGTAATTAATCAAGTTCTCGTTTAGCAACTCGCATTGTCTTTTTGCCTTTTCGTGTTGATTGTGGAACCTCCTTTTCCCACAAAACAGTTTTCATTCATTTTCATGCTCATTCACAAAACATGAGAAAAAAAGAAAAACAAACATTGCAAACCAGAGAGCGGGAGAGTTTGAAAATAATTGAGAACTAATGGTCGGATTTTCTCAGTTCTGTTGAGAAAAGTAGCCGACCAATCAAAAAGCCATTTCCCCTTTAAAAAAACCCGAGCATGTTGCATCTTGTAGAGATTTTTCCGATTTATTGGAGAGTTTTGAGAGAGTAATTCAAAAAGCCGGGTCTACAAAGGTGAGTTTTTGTGGACTGTGGTGGAAGCAGGGGAAATGTTGATACTTGTTTCTACGCACTTTGGGATTGGAGTCTGTGGATTGGATCTTGTGGAAGGTGGTGAGGCAAGTTGGGTATAATTTGTCTACACAAGTTAAGAGTACCCATATTTAAGCTGCGTTTGGATGCTATGGTGGAATTCCACTTTGTGGATGTAGGGGTAAAGTTGATGTGGATGTTCTAACTACTCCACAGATTTTTAAACCTTCAAGAATTTTAATTTGGATTTTACATTGTACTAAAATTGTTATTAGGTATTATGTGTTACATAGCATATCATTAAAAACATTTTTCTTTCCTGAGTAACTATATATAAATTTTACACATCCTAGGCTCTCCTCATGTATCAACTTCCCCAAGACTTGATCTTATGGTGGATTTGTTGAATTCAGTTAGGTATTTTTCCATTTTTTACCATGATCACTGCATTCTCCAAAAGCAAAATTCTCCTGACGCATTCTCCAATATCTAAAGTAAAGTTCCTCAAGTGTAGAGAGTTCCGGACGGTGGATTCTTAAGAGTTCGTCTCCTTTCTCCACCTTCCAAAACCCATAAACTGAGAGAGATTTAAAAACTCTACATTTCCCCTTTGAAAAAATCCGGTTTCAAGTATATCCACATGGTGGATTCTCAAGTAGCACTTTCCCCTGTCTCTCTCTCTCTCTCTCTCGTCTCTGCAACCACCTTTCTCTATCCAGCCGACGAAAGCCGAGAGCGTAGACTCCGCCTATCGGTGCTCTCGGATCGGGGATTTTATTTATATCGACTCGGGGGGTATAAAAGCGGACGCTCTGAGCGAGTAGTACTCATTCGTGTGCCGAACGTTCGCTGAAAAAGATATAGAAATCGAAAACGCAAACGCAGAAAAACACGCTGGATTAAAGTGTTTCGTTTACAAACTTCGACAGAGTGAGAATAAAATAGTGAAGTGAGCAGCATCGCACAAAGCCAAATAACTCGCAGAGAAACCAAAATCAAAGAAAAGTAAAGAAAGCAAAGCAATATTTAAGAACCTCGCAAGTAATCCGGTACGACCGTGTAACAACCGCCAAGATTCTACTCAAGGAGCGTAAAGCAATCATTTCGAGAATGAAGTCCCTGACGGCCGTTTGTCAGACAGGTGCCTCCGGAATGCCGGCCTTGAACGCCAGCGGGCGCATCTCGCGCCACCCCACGCATCGCGGCGATGGGGAGAATGCCGAGATGAAGATGTATCTGTCCAAGCTCAAGGATCTCGTTCCGTTCATGCCCAAGAATAGGAAACTCACAAAGCTGGAAATTATCCAGCACGTCATCGATTACATATGCGATCTGCAGACCGAGCTGGAGACGCATCCCGAGATGGGTAACTTTGATGCGGCGGCCGCTCTGACGGCGGTAAATGGACTGCATGAGGACGAAGATAGCGACATGGAGGACGCGGATGTGGAGGCGGAAACGGAAGTCGATCCGGATGTCCTCGCCCAGCGTTTGGCCGCCGAACAGCCGGCGAAAGTGTCTAGTCCCGCCGCCCGTCTCCCGCTCACCGATCGCCAAACGCCCAACACACTCGTGGCGCCCGCTCATCAGCAGCAGCATCTCCAGCTGCAGCAGCAACAGCAACTCCAACTGCAGCAGCAGCAACAGCAGCAACTGTCCAACAGTTTAGCAACGGTGAGTTAACAAACAAATTGCTTAGATAGTGCAATAGGAAGTGGGGGAGTGAGCACAGCGAAGGTCGAAATTATGGCAAAAATACTAGGTTCAGGAAATACGAATGTGGTAAAAGAAACGTTCTAAAATATTAGAACAATTCAAGTTTTAGAAACAGAAAATAGAGAATCGAAAAACTTTAAAGTTACTGCAAATTTCAAAAGTATGTGCATTGTTAAAAACAACTGATTATTGTTTAAAAATTTACATTTTAACATGAAATTATACATTAGTTTATACTCCAGGCAATAAAGCAAGTAATAGCAAAAATGAAGATAAGGAACGCCATATCTAAAGTTATACAGATGTTTCACTCGTTTATGACCGCAGTTTTTGGGTTTTGGTTGAGTGCCATTATTTTGACCGCAGCTGTTTGACATTTGCATTGCAAATATAGGAGACAATTGAGTGTCAAAGTGTTTGGTTTACTTGTTGTTGTTCGGCGAGTGACCTCATTCATAAGGCGATTGACAAATGTTTGCATGAGAGTGATTTTTTTTGTTTCGCTTTTCGTAAGGACGAGGCAAGGCCCATTTCTGTGGCGAATCTTGTGAAATTTCTTTACTGGGCTTTCGACAACAATAAATCTGCGCCGACCTTCCCCGTTTTCGTAGCCTCCTCATCACCCGAAAATTTCATTTCGGTTTTTATAGACATTTCACAGACTGTCTCTTGGCGATTGTATGGGTTTTGCGGTTGTTGTCGCCATCGTTTTCTTTCTTTTGTGAGTTGCCTATACGTAGCTGTTAATTTTTTTCCCGCGGTCTTTTTCTGTTGTTGTGATGTTTTAAATGAACACCTGCAGATACTTAAATTTATTTCACACACACTCGCCGCACACACACACGCACATGCGAGCTTGAAAACGGAATTTGAAATTGGGGAATCATCAGTCTTCGTATTTTTATTTTATTTTGTGTTTTTGGCTTACTTCATTAGCGGGCAGCTTCTTTTCTTCTTTTTTTCGGTTATTGATGATGCTGGCAAAAAAATTTGTTTAAGACCTACGTAAAAACAGGTTCAAAAAAGCATTTTTTAGTGGGTTTTTCGAACAAATGCTCGACTGGGTGGCCCCGGCAAGTGTTATTAATTTTTTATTCGTTGATTGTTGATTAATTATGAAGGTGGAAGACCCTTTCTTACTTTTTACGCAGATGGAAGATGGGTTTTGAACTCGGGCCTCGTCTTGTTGATTCGTTACATAGTAGGCTCTGAGCTCGTATACCCTTTGAAGTTATTTTTCTTTTTTTGAGTTGCTCCTTTTTTTCTCACTTGGTGCGTAGTACATTTTTTTATTTTTGTTGCAAAACATCTGCAACCCACAAACATATAAAATTTGTGTGTTTGTATGATGTGTCACCACAACAACAACCATTCGAGAATTCTTTCGAAAACACGCACACACATACGAGAACACATGGGGGCACTCAGAAAACTGTAAAAAGAAATGCACGTGTTCAAAATGTTCTCTCTGTGGGTTGTTTTCAGTTGTTTTGCTGTTTCTTTTTTCGAATTTTTTTTTTCGCGCAGCTGTGCGCCAGTCGCCAGTCGGTCGCTTTCTACACTGTATCCCCCCACGGATCCTGCCCCCTTTCAATACCCGCCCCCTCGCAGTAAGAGAGCAACAGCAGAGGAAGAGAACAAGGCACAAAGAAAAAACTATAGTGAATAGATATATATTTTTGACTCGAAAATAATTTATCTTAACAAAAACCAACTCACTGAATCCATACTAATAAATATTTTCTTCGAAAAATTAGAAATATTCAAAAATGTTCAAGAAAAAGGATCCTTAAAATATAGCCTTTTCAAAAAAGATATCGTTCTTATTCCTTCATAAATTTTGTATTTCTATGAAATAGATTTTCTAGATCTGGCCCTCACAAATATTTTCTCAGTGTTTAAGACCTCAAATAAGTACAAAACAAAAGCTCAGTGACAGCTCGTTTGATTTTCTTGGCGCCTCTTTATTTCCTCATCCCCTCCATTCATCGACATCATCTTCTCACCGAGTGTCTAAAGCAAAAAACAGCAGCGAATTAATTGATAACATAGAATGGCGAAATAAATACAGCTAATAAACAAATTATTGTGTTTCACCCAGACATAAATACTAATTTGAATTTCCCCTCTTCTCTCTTTTTAGCCACTGAACGCCGAGAAAGACAGCAGGCAGTCGTAAGCGTGGAAACGCCCAGCCGGGAAAACCTATAAACTTATTAACTAAATGCATAATTAAAGTACAGTCAAAACTCCACTCGCAACCTTCGTGTGAAGATCTCCGCATAAAATAACTTGTGTAACTCTCAAGAAAACCTACAGCCCAGGCGCATCTCTTCAACTCTCTTTTCCCGGAGATGAAAATCGGGGAAAACGAGGGCTCGCTTTTCGGCTCGGCAGAGTTTAGTTTTAACAATTAATAAACACAACAACCTAGCATTAGATCATCGTAAGCAAGTAAACATTATGATTAATAATTAAACATTTAAACTAGGATGGCGCTTAAGAATGAATGGAAGAAAACTTGGCAAAGCTTTAAACAATTTAATTTTTCCTTTAACGCTTGAAATTACACTAAAGCATATATATTTTTGTTTTCCTAATTTTAGTTTTGTTTTGGTTTAAACAACGCAAGAAAAAATGTTACTAATGCAAAGCAAACAGAGATCAGCAATAAAATAAAATAAAATAAAATGCACAGGCAACAAAACTGGAATTACGTTTAATCATCAAATTCTGTATTATGATTATATAATTTCTCTCCAAATGATTTTCCTATTAATTTTAATCAATGAAGAATTTTTCCTATTATTGATTAGCCACAGCCAATAAATAACAAGAACAACCAACTCAGCAGCACACACATTCAAATTCATTAATTTATATTGTGTACGATTTAGTGTTTAAGTTTTGTGAAAGTTAATTTCCAGGCACTAATTTTCACTCACACACAAAACACACACACCTCATTTTGTAGTTTTTCCGAGTCCCTTGGATCGTTTTCCTCTTTTTTTAATCGAATTAACGTATAATCCATAATAGTAATTACCAGATATACACTAAAACCTATAAATATATATTAATATATGTTCTGTGATCTGTAGCATACTTTGTACAAAATGTTTTTTTAGCATAATTATGCGATTTTTTAATTATGATTTGATCGGCAATCGAAATTACAAATATTTGTTCTCATTTCGATGGTAAAAACTCTATCATGATGTAAAAGAAAAAGAAAACATTTGATGATGCAAAAAAATATAAATCTAAAAAAGAAAGAAAAAAAACCAACATTAGCCCTTAATAAATTGCAAAAATTAAAAATTATTAAAAATCAAATAGCACAATGAAATTTCACTGGGAGGGAGGGGATAGCAAATATTGGCAACTACCTTAAAGACAAGAAGCCGGAGGCAGGAAAACTCTGTTGAAAAACCATTTCCCATGTAAACAAGTGCAACGAATTACCAGAACAATAAGGTGGATGATAATACCCCGGAGTTCCATGGGCGAGCGAGTTTTCTCACGCAGCCGCCGCCTTTGTCATTAGGGGTTTGGTTTTCCCAGGTAAAATGGCCCTTAGGGCCCCGTGGAAAACTCGACCTGCACACGTGTGCGAATTGCGGACAGAAAAATTCCGTTGAGAAAATGTTTCCTTCTCTCTGGCGCGCTGGTTTACCTATTATTTCGTTTTTCTGACCACTTGGGTGTGGATTTAGTTTTGGTTTTTTGGGTTTCTTTGCCCGCAGCTGCCTGCCCTCCCACTCCCACAACCCACTCTCTCCCTCTCTTTCCCGCTATCTGCTGGCCTATTAGCGTTAATGATTGCGACTACAATGCATTGACCAATTGGCAATTGCGACTATATAGACTCGGGTTAGCTTTGAGATCGGAGCTCGGAACTCGGAGCACTCGGTGCCAGCCGCCCCATTCAAATGTCAATTCGGATCGGACCCCAGCGGAACACAAGAGAAACATTTTAAATATCTACGGAACGCTTTTCCTCGGTGGCCCCAAATCTGGGATGCTCTATGGAGAGTCCTGTATTAAAGGTACCTGTGTAGAGAAGATACAAAAATATGTACTTATTAGATTTCATAACTTTGTTTTTAAAGGCATATTTTATTTAGTAGTTAGTATATTAAGATAGGTTTCAGAAGGATGTGATGACCAAAGGTTAAAAAAGGATTAATAGCCTGTTGAGTGTTATGACAAACAATGGCCATTTATTAATTAGACTTTTTATATGCTTTTCTATACTACTTGATCAAATTCTGCTTAATGATATTTACATGCTGTTTTAATTGAATTACTGAAATTTTAAACATATATTTGTATGATTAAAGATTAGATTCGTTTTTGAAAGTGAATGAGAGCGTCCGAAAATGAAGTAATATTACATAGCAATTTAGTTAGTACAACCAATATTTTTTTTGAAACAAATATTTTTATAACAGCAACATTTTGTAAATACCTTAGTGGACAGATCTCTGTTAAAGTACAATTTATTACATGGCTCTCTATGAATTGAGCAATTATTTAATCGTAAAAAACTCCCCATTCCGTTCCCTCCAAACCGCATAACTATTTTCTTGTTAGGGTATGCACTGTCGTTTAAAATAAAATCCCAGGCCAATGGAAAATAATAGGAAAAGAAACAAAAAACGCTAATGCTCACATGCATTGTCTATAGGGGACATTCATTGTGCACAGAAAAAAGTTAAAGCCAATATAAAATAGACATTATGTAAACCGAAATACCTGTAAGTGTAAGCGTATTAGAACATCAACGTTTTGGTATTTGTACCTTTGCAAATTAATAAGCACCTTTCTTTCGTAACTCACATTGTATTAGTAAAATATCTGTTAAGGGATCTTTAAATGTACATTTTTTCTCTGTGTAACAGTGCGTTTTATTCACAGCCGCCCCTTCTGGGGGCCAATGATCTCTGATTCCGAACCACACTCTGGTATGCGCTAATTGTTTGCAGAGCTTTGGGGTCTGGGGTTGGGGGCTCTAGACGCTGATGGGGGTTTTCGGGGAGAGCATTTGGCCAGGCACAATTAGTGCGCTCACCTTAGTCGCTGTTTCTCAGCCTCAAGTCTCGGGTTTTCTCTCTTGTAATGATTTTTTTTTGGGTGCGACTGCGCTGAGACGAGAAATCAGTGAAACTTGAATTACCATAAAAACTCGTGTAGCAGTCAACAGCTGCGGCAACTGCGCGATTGCGAATGCCGTCGCCTCGGCTCAGCCTTCCAATGGCCGTGCCGGAAAATTTTGACATAATAATTGTCAAGCTGACATTTCCAACCACGCAGCTGACAGCTGAGCCTGAACCAGCCGAGCTCCCGAGTGTTAAACGAAGCCGAACCGATAGCTAGTCGAACTCCCAGATTAACCCCTTGAGATCTCGAGGGGATTACGGATCGGCTTAAGGAATTTATCCCTTCAAATCTCATGGCTCTGAAAAGTCAAAGCCATTAACCCCCTTCCCTTACCAGTTTCGCACCAGTTTTTTAAGTTTATGGTTTTTTTGAAATATGCACATATTACTGCTTATCTATTTTTGTATATTGTATACTCCGAAAATATATACTTTTAATATATGTACCTAGAAGGTAAGAATATATACTTTTTACAAGTTAATCCTCAAGTTTAATTCTATTATTAAAAGAATATTCAATATATTATTATGATATTACCAATCATCTCACAAAAAAATCGTAATATTGAAGTAATGAATGATGGTTGGTAAGTTGACACAAATAAATTTGTGAAGCTATTGTTAAGTGCTTCCTATTCTTCGTGTTGTACATAATAAGTTTAAAAAGTATGCAAATGCTGAGTGTTTGTGTTTTACCTAATGATTTTAGGTGCTTTAAAGAGGTGCCTAGGATTAGGTTTCTAAATTCCTGAACACGTTCAGTAAATATTAATAATAATGTGCCGGTTTTTTCAAATTATTATGAGTTTTAAAAGATGAAAGGTAGAAATAATATTTGTATGGCTTTAAGCCATTTTAAAACTAACTTCTCGTACACATTTATTTATCTTTATGCCTTTTTGTTATATTATTTTTAATTAAATCATTGCTTATTATAGGGTTAACTGTCTTTTATCCAGCTCTAACGGAGGTCTCCAAAATGAAAGCTAAACCACAATCAACAACGCCGACGACTTTGGCGAGGTGCGCATAAAAATCGCATTTAATTGTGATTTTCACACGAAATACAATGCGCATGAGCAACTGGCGCCGCTGGTTAAAATGAAGGGGGTGGGGCGGTTGCGGGGGCATGGGGTTTCATAAAGGGGGAGGCGGTAATACTTGATGGCAATTTGTGTAACTAGCGGTAAAGCGTAACTACTAAACAGTCCGCGACCGCTGAGAAGTTGTTGTTTTTGCTTTTGTTTTTGTTGTTGGTGGTGGCTTTTGGGAAACACCTGCAAAACGCCAAACGCACCTGTTTCGCTAAACAACAACAACCGGCAAACGAAAACTAAAACAAAGTCAAGACACCAACGCCAGCTAGCAAAATAAAAAAGGCAATACAAATGTATGAAAGCAACGCGGACACGGCTCAGCAACTTTCGTGGGTTAAGCTGGCCGAGGTGGGGCGAAAAGGGGTTAAGGGGAACCAAACCGCCTGACTTTTGTGTAATTGAAGCGACCATCTGTCTTTGTGGCGGGGGAAAAGCGGAAAAACTGGGTGAGAGTTCCACGCGAATTAGGAAATCGAAACCAAGTCGATGTTGGAGTTGCAAAGTCAGGACTGGCAAACATATGTATGGTATACATTGTATACACACAGTTATGGGCAAAATGGTAGGAATATTCATTTAAGATTACCTACTAAAAGTGGAACGACGTGTTATTATTACTTTTCCAATAAAATGATTTATGTATTTTGTAACTACTTATTAAGGTATACTTTTATTAATTTCTCATTTAAATAATTAATTTTCAGCGCCTATTTAATAATTATTTCCACAATATGTAAGTCAACTATATCTTGCAGTTATTCCTATTAAGAAAGTAGTTCTTTATATATGACTGAAACTTTAATATTTTGTAACCCTAAAATGTTCACCCCATTTGTTTGGTTGGGGATTTAGTCAGGTGCACGAATCGGAAGCTCAAACTGCGAATATCTACCACCAAAGCCATCAGCTGGCGGAAGTTGGTCAGAAAAGCGGACGGCAGCTGACGATCGGGAATGGCTCGAAATGGGAGTCCCAGGACTGGGCAGCATTGATTTCAGCTGCGTCACCCAACCATTGTGGGTTTTTCATGGGTGGTGCAGAAAAGGGGTGGCTGCCATGTGGCTCAGTGGCCACCACAAGTTGGGCTAATGACAGCTCAGATTGGTAAGACTCGGTCGCGGTTTTTAAGCTTTTCGACCAACAATGGCGATGACAATGGTCGTGAGGTGCGGCTGCTGCAGTTGCAATTTGTGCTGCAACTGCAGTTGCTGCCGCATGACATTTGATCGAAAGGCTGGCGCTGCCGCAGAAGCCAAGGGGTCACAATACCCAGCGCCATCGATGACGAACTGCGGCCAGTGTCAAGCCGTAAATTAAATAAAATTATGCACCATTCCTTATCGTCAATTGAATTGTTGGTATTCAATTTTTTTCCCTCTGCCTTGGGGCTCTGACTAATGCGCCACCCGAGTTGCCGAGATTGATATGCGATGGGGAACACGG